ATTATCTTTGACACAAGGAATACAAAATGAGTAAAATGTTTTATAATTCGGTTCTCTTATAAGCCTGGAAAACTAAGGCCCTTCCCTCTGTATTTGATGTCAGTGTCTCCTCTTAGGATGTGTGCTCTGAGCCCAGACAGCAAAGATTCACCTTGAAACCTCTCTTACTTCAAGATTGTCACAGTGCATTTTCCATATTATTTTGCCTACCTCCAGTAATGTCAATTGATATTTCTTTCTCTGTCCCATCATCAGGATTAAGTGATAAAGACAAACTCAGAAGTACCATTTCCTCCTCATTGTGTCTGAAATATGCTTGATGCTGCACAGTTTTCAAATTGACAATTTTAAGAATGTCATTCAAGCTATTACTTTTTCATTTCTGAGAACTCATTCCAGCGTAGTGAGGTGACCTCGGCTGTTCCCTACAAAATGAGTTTCTGAGAGGTAATTTCTTTAGAAATGAGTAATTGAATCTTACATTTCTTACCAGTACCCTTGAAAATAAATATTCCAAAATTTAATGTCAATGGTTTGGAGGGAATAGATGTGAAGATTTTTGTGTTAGAGCATATGAACAAGTCAGTCTCAACAATCCAAACACACCCTCTCCAGCTCTAAACTTCCTCAATGGATGTAAATGAAGGTTTCTCGTCCCACCTGCCAGTTCCCAAATAACCATTTTAAGGCTTAATATTGATTATATTGTTTGGTCAATGTCTCAGGCTTCTTATTAGCCAGCTCTCTCTTAATTATCAACCCATTTTTATTAATCTATGTTTCTCCACATGATCTTGGCTTACCAGAGAATGCCCTGGCATACTATCTTCCTGGTAGTCTCTCTGCATTTCTCTTCCCAGGATTCTCCTAGCCTGGTAGCCCTGCCTATACTTCCTGCCAGGCTACATCCTGCCTGTTCATTGGCCAAAACAACTTTATTCATCAACCAATAAAAGAAACACATATTCATGGCATACAGAAGGACATCCCTCATGGAAGGGAGCTACTCAAAAGTCCAGGAAACACAACAGAAGGAGGCTGTGTGCTTCAGGGAGCCATGCCAACCACAGTACCATTGGCAGCTCACACACAGCAGCCCATCCAGGGCTCTGTGTGACTTTCTATATCCTTGACATTTTCTAGATCTACCCCTTTAGCACTAAACAATTGCAGGTGAAAAACAGAATGATGTACTGGGCTTCGGGTTTATGTCCTTACCAATATTGCCTTACTACATTTCTTAATGAGTCTGACATCAGTGCTTGGTAGGCTATAGATCATGGCCTCTAACTGTGCTAAGGTTAACCAATCTGCGCCCAAGCTAGCAAGACCCTTCTGGCACCAAGTAAGTAAACCTGTTACTGTGTTTCACTTAATGGTCCTCTAGCCCTAACCCCAATCAACTCCATGTGTAAATAAGTATCTAGCTCTTCACCTGCAACATGGAGCACTGGAAATTACTTACCCTCTGTCCTCAGCTTATGCTATAGATGTTTGGTGATGCAGTCATCACAAGTTGAAAAGATTTCTGGTTATTTTCACTCGGGATTGTGAGCATCAAGTAAAATTGAGTCTCCATGAAGGATGCCAGTTAGAATTCAGAATAGATTCCCAGAGCCATTTGCTGATTGTGGGGACCCTTAGGTAACTGGATTCTGGAAGAACCACAGAATAACTCCACAACCTTTCCTGGGCACATTCCTGCTTCAACTGCCAAAAATAAACAGCCATTAACTGCCTAGATACAACCTATGGAGTCTATAGTTGTATGTAAATCTCAACCAGTCAGAATGAGCATCATTGCATCCCTCGTTTGCATACAACTCACTAATTGACACTGAGAAAGCTTGTGTGTGTCATTTGCATAGGTAGACCCAATTGGGAACCTTGTTAGAGACTTTCTCCATATAAGCCAGTTTCTCTCTTTGCTTCTGCAGACAATGTCTTCCTGTCTTACAAAAAGTTGCATGCTCCTGCAACTGCAGTTTGCAAACTGTTTTGTTTTATTGCTCTCTTTTCAAATAGGCCTATGTTTAAAAGTTTTATTTGCTCTTTTATATGTTTATATATGTGTGCATGTATGTATATGTGTGTGTGTGTGTGTGTGTGTGTCTGTAAGTCTGTCTGTATGTGTGTATACCTGATTGTCTTATGCTCACCGTGGACATGCAGTGCCCACAGAAGCCAGAAGAATTCATCAGAGTCCCTGGAACTGTACTTGCAGGTTGTTGTGAACTGCCAGATGTGGATGTTGGGAATGGTACCTCTTCAAGAGCAGCAAGAACTCCTACATGCTGAGTCATTTCTCCAGCCCCATATTTTTACCTTATGTGTAAATTTCCTGAGGGAGTTTTTTTTTAATATGAGGACCACATCTTCTTTTCTTTGCTTCTGAGTCCTCTCTGCTTCTGTCTATAGCCCAGGCTGACCCCACTAGCCTCTACCTTCCTCATGTAGGACTGTAGGTTTGTATTGCCACACCTGACCTCAATGGATACTTTTCCGTCATTTCCCCCCCTGACCTCAATGGATACTTTTCTGTCATTTCACCGTCTCTCAGTGGTTTTGATGCCTAAACATTTTTTCCCCTTTGAGTATAGTGGCACTAAACTACAGTGTTACTGTGTTTACATTTTAGAATAAAAAGCCTTTGAAAACACCTGCCTTCTTTTTTAGTTTGGTGTTTTTCATTGGGCATCTTTTCCAAGCTGGTTTCACTATATAACACAGTCTTTGAATTCCATAACTGAGCCTTCTTGGAATAGTAGTATTCTTTTCAGAAGAATGATGGATAGAAATGTAATAGCTGGAATGTAACATTAACTAAACAACTTTTGAATCTCAAGCTTTGAGTTTCTTGGCAAATTATGGCTAAGCACTGGCTAATCTCTAAGGCCCTACCAATTCTTATAGTTCAAAATGTTAGTACCTTAGGTCCTAACACACCCTTACAGCTGATGTCCCTGCTGTCCTAGAGGCCAGCTGTCTGGAAGAGGGACTCTCTGGAAAGAACATTGATGGACAGCCTGGCAAAGCAGCAGTATTACCAACCCCAGCACTACTACCCTTATATATGACAGTCCCAGTCAATTTTCTCATCTCAGCATATACTAGTCTCCCAGGGAAGAGGGATCCTCAACTGGGGGCATGTCTCCATCAGATTGGGCACATCTGTGGGGTCATTTTCTTGATTAGTGTGGGAGGGGCCATCCCACTGCTGGCAGAGTCACTTTTGGGCAGGTGGGCTTGGATTGCATAAGAAAGCCAAGGAGAACAAGGAAGTAGGCAATGATCTGCCACGGTTCTTGCCTCTGCACCTGCTTGAGTTTCTGCTCTAAGTTTCCTCAGTGATGAACCATGACCAGAACATGTAAGCCAATTAATCCATCCCTCCCCCAGTTGGTTTTGGTCCTGGTATTTATCACAGCAACAGAAAGCAAATTAGGACAGTGGTCCTCTGCCAAGCTCATCACTGCTTCTGTCTGTGCAGAGATGTCGGAAAGGTCAGAGGAGAACCAGAAAAGCAAAGGGGGAAGGGATCTAACTTGTTCACTTCCAGAAAGCCAGGAGTGTGCTGGCCTTTATGGGCATGGTCTCATTTAACCCTCTCTGAGCAGAGCTATTATCATCCTCTCCTGGCTCTACCCATAAGATGAAAGGGCCAGAGGTGTTAAATAGTCTGGCCAAGGGGATGCAGGGGCATGTTTAGGATGTGAGAAGCTTAGTTTGGCATGAAGTCCACCTTGTTCTCACTCTCAGTTTTCTGATTCTTAGTTCCTGTGTAGAAGCTTCCCGGACACTGAGCGGTCTTGGAAGTCTTATTTCCTGGGTTATCTGTGTTGACTGAGCACGGCTGATCCTCAGTGCTCTTTTAAGGCCCAGAAGACTCAATCAACCTGGGAGAAAGAACATGCCCTGATGTTCTTCAGTACTATAGTGTGACTAGAGTTCACATACTGCATATTCTACGAAAAACCTGAGGGGGGCCGAAAGGCTTTAAGCATGAAGAAATGGTAAGAAGCATTATAGAGATGCTCAGTGTTTGAAACACTTGCCAGGGGAGCAGGAGGATCTGAGTTTGGATCCTCAGAACTCATGCAAAAGATGGACATAGCAGCATGTGTGTATGACTCCAGCATTGTGACATGAGGAGTCAGAGACAAGAGACCCTCTGAATTTCACTGGCCAGTGAGTCTAGACAAAGTTGGTGAGCCCCAGGTGCAAGAAGACACCCACATATATACACATGTGTAAACCCCTCCACACACACGCACACGAGAAATGATGAGAAGGAATGATGATTGCCCTGGTTTGGTCAGTACAAAACGTTTGATTAACACTGGATAATCAATACTGGATTGTATTGATCAATACTGATCAATGTGACTCTGCAGCATATGAACATGTACAAAATTAGGTGCCAAATAAAAGCATACCTCAATTCTTTCATAAACATTGAGGCAATATTCAGCAGGCGTCTCAAGTGTGCGCTTGTGTGCTTGGGTGAAGTGGTTTCTCCATTGCGTGCCCATAGCATTCAGATACCATGTAGCCTGTGGGGGGTGGGGGGTGCTGAGTTGACAGGCTCATCTTGGTGAAAGAAGACAGGGGACTCTGTCAAGGAAGTTCTCAGATATTTACAGGGATGTAGACATAAGGTGCTGTCTGTAATGTTTAAAATTGATTAATTAAATAATTTAAAAAATCAGGGGTCTCTGATTTTTTGGGGGCCTCGGAGTTGACAAGGAAGGCCCCAACTCAGGGATGAAAAGGGAGGATGTAGGCCCCGTCCACTAGTCATTTCTCTCTCAGGAAACTTGGTTTCTCCCCTGCAGCCTGCCCCTGTACCCTGACCCCTGAATCTGGGCAGCGCTGGCAGTTTCCACTCTCCCACCCTCTTCCAGACACCAGGACCACTTATCTACTTTGTTATGAGTCGAACCCACGTTTGTATTTCTACTGAGGTCTCTAGAGAGAGAGGTAAACCACACTCACAGGTATTATATTTCTTTCCCAATTATTAAATAGTTTAGGCTTATCATCAAATAACCAAGAAAAATATCCAAAGGGAAGGAAAACTGTAGAACGCTGCCACTCAGTTGGAATCACGGCTAAGATGCTGATGAAAGCCCCTCCTGGATCCACCGTCTCTCCCTGCAGGGTGCAATTCCCGAGGATGCCACACTTTGCTTTTGTGTCCTTGGCCATTGGGCAGAGGTGGGACGATGGATGAGTGTCCTCACTCAGTCCCGCTGCAGCCTCAGATGGGGTATACTGAAAAGAAGGCATTCATGGTGTATGTGGTCAGGCAGCCCCGGCCTCGCAGGCTCTCCCCACTCTGATTCCAACTTTCAGGGCATGCTGCCCCAGAAGGGCACCCACCCACCCTCTGGAGCAAAGTCTTGGGGTCAGAGTATGGGCATACGGAAATTGGGTTTATTGGCTTATGAAGCCTGCCTTCCACAGTTGAGCCAGACGTCCTGACAATTCCTGTGAATAGGCTCCTGGCTGAGACTGTCCAGTTGCTAGCGTTAAAGGCAAAGAGCTTTGGTCAGAGATAGTTAAGACAAACAACACTGGGGAAAGGGTCTCTCCAGAACAGCTTTCCTCCAACCTCTTACCTTGAGCGTACGTGCCTTCTTCCTGTTTGGCTGAAGTTGCCTTTGTCTGCCTGTTTAGCCGTGAATAGTCAGAAAAGAAATAAGTTTGACTCTTTTCCCAGCTGATTGCTGAAGCAGCTAGAGTGACCAGGGACTTGCTTTCTCTGTGTGGGGTGACCTAGAGTCAGCGACTTAGAACCCTCCAGGGGCTTGTAGCTAGCAGACCCAGTTTCTCTGTCCATGTGAGTGGCCTGTGGACAGAGTCAAATGACTCCGTGCTTCTCTGGGCCATCAGTCACCTCTGGGTCTTGATTGTGGTTTGGCTCAAACTCTTGGCAGAAAAGAGGCTGGGGTGGGGGGCTGGGAAGGAAGTGGGCTGTCTGCCACAAACAGATTTAAAGGAAGAAACGCCATCATATTGCCATACTGGGGAAGACTTTGGGGCAGCTTCTCCCCTGCGTGTAAGACATCTGCTTACCCTGCTGCTAAGATACTGATCTTTGGACCAGGAGTAAGGAGACAGGATGATTCTGACTAGAGAAGACAGCAGGGAGGGAGGAGGAGCTCAGAGGCCAGGCCTCAAGTTCTTCCAAGCCTGCAGACAGAATGCGTGCACTTCTCTTGGCTATATGGATAACTGATGACTTCTTAGGCACTTTGATGAAACCCACTTTTTAATTTGAGTTATGGTACTTTGTAGATATGCTATTTTATGTTTGTTTGGAACCCGAGTTTTTAAATAAGAAACGGATCTTCTTGAGTTTGTTCTCTGACTGAGGATCTACAGCTATAGCTTTCCAAAGCTGTTTTTCAGTACATTAGATGAATAAACAGACAGATGAAATTTGGAGATAGAAACCCTCAAAACTAAAATTGTCCCTCCAGCTTCCCATACCCAGGGAACAGACAGAAACAAAACAAGGTTGTTTGTGTGGCCAGTTACCCTTCCAGACTGAACACCTCTATTCTGTGAAGACGTCTAGGCCTTGTCCTAGCCTCCTACTGCTGTGACAAAGTCCCTGAGGCAGTCACCCTGGCAGGCAGGAAGGTTTGTTTTGATTTGTGGCTCTAGAGGTTCCAGTTCATGATCACTTGGTCCCGCTACTTTGGTTCACGATGGTATATCATGGCAGAGGAAGCCGGTCACCTCATGTCAGACAGAAAGCACAGAAAGGTGGGAAGCAGCTTGGATGGGAAGCGGCATGGATCCCTCCAAGGCCACACCCCCAGTGATGCACCCTCCCTCTCTTAGCCCACTTCACAAAGGTCCCACCACGTCTCGGGAGTACTGTGGGCTTGAGACCAGGCTTTAGCTTGTAGGTTTGCATGGGATAATTCAGACTCAAATGGTAGAGGATGCTGTTCTCATGGGATAATTCAGACTCAAATGATAGCGGATGCTGCAAGACAGCTGTTGCCTTCTATAACTTCCTTTCCTTCTCCCTTTTCTGTGATGTTGAATTAAGCTCAGGGCCTCAATTATGCAAGCACTCAGCCACTGAGTTATGCCAACCCTCATTTTAAGTTTTTTATTTCATGTATATGGGGTTTTTTTTGCCTGTGTGTATGTGTACACAGTACTTGCATGCCTGCCTGGTGCCCAGGGACACCAGCAAAAGGCATTGGGTCCCCTGGAATTAGAGTTACAGTGTTTTGAGCAACTCTGTGGGTGCTGGGAATTGAACCTGGGTCCTCTGGAAGAACAGTCAGCTCTCTTAACCACTGAGCCGTCTCTCCAGCCCCAGCCCTTTGTTGTCCTTGTTTCCTGAGTCAGGGTTCCTCCGTGTAACAGTCCTAGCTTTCCTGGAACTCACTTTGTAAACGAGGCTGGCCTCCAACTCACAGAGATCCACCTGCCTCCGTCTTCTGAGTGCTGGGAGCAAAGGCGTGCACCAACATGCCTGGCTGTAGCCCTTATTTTTAAAGAAATTGTGTTCCAGCTGACTTTAGACTCATAGTCTTTCTCGGTCTCCAGGCACCTGCCATGATTACTAGAGTATGCAGCATATTTCTTATTACACCGTCTTGCAATTATTTGTTGGTACCTCTTTTCCCTAACAGAACGTGAATGGTGTGAAGGAAAGGGTCTTTGGGCATTGTTGTGCTCCATGACAGTGTAGTGCCTGTCTTATTCAGCATGCTGTAGCATACACCCCAGGACCAAACTCATTTCCAGGGGTGACACCGCCTCTGTGGGTCGGACCCACCCACATCAATCATTAGTCAAGGAAATGCACTACAGACTTGCCTAAAGGCAATCTGATGGAGGTTCCTCTCCCTGGATAGCTCTAGCTTGTGTCAAGTTGAGGAAAACAAAACAAAAACCCCAAACAAACAAACAAACAAACAAAAAAGCAAAAAACAAGCAAACAAAAATCAACCAGGAGAGTACCTTCCTTTCTTTCATATCTAACATACTGTTCTTCTGATTTAACATTTTAGTTTTTAGCGGTAGAATGACTTTCAAAAAACTCCATTTTCTTCCTTATTCAAAGCATGATCTCACTATGTAGCCCAGGCTAGCCTGAAACTTTCAATTCTCTTGCTTCAACCCCTTAGGTACTGGAGTGACAGTCACACATCCATTACCCTCTATAGATCGGGCATCCTAAGGTAATTTAGAGACAGGGGTAAAATTATTCTAAGTCTCACAATCCTACTCTTTTTACAGAAACAGAGTATTTTGGTATATGTTCTCACCTTCTTTGCAGTTTTTACAGTGTTGGGATCACACTGTTTAAATTATTCCAAACTCTGTCCCCATTCAAAGTTACGTTAGCAAGTCCTCATTCTGCTGAAGTCATTTATAAGCAATAATTAATTGCTCTACAATATTTTAGTTTGTGAACATTCCCCTAAGGTTTGAATAAATTATTTCTAGTTTTTAAAAAATAATGACAAGGAATGCTGATGTGAGCATTCACATGCCTGTTTCTGTATTTAAGGCTATATCCCTGGGGGCGCTGGTGAGGCAGCTCAGTGGTTAAGAGTACTGGCTGCTCTTTCAGAAGATCTGGGTTGAATTCCCAGTACCCATATGGCAGCTCACAACTGTCTATAACTCCAGTCCCTGGGGTACTGATAACATTCACACAGATATGAATGTAGGCAAAACACCAATGTATATAACATGAAATTAAATAAATTATATAAAAATTACATCCTTGAAGTGCCTTCCTAGAAGTAAGTTATTGAATTAAAGAGTATAAATAATCTTAAGCCTTTTGATACAACAGTATACTGGTCTATTTGGGGGCTTAAGGTCACCAGGCTTTCTCTTTAGGAATATCATGTTAAAAGACCCCCAAATTCCCTAACACCTCTCCTAAAGCAAACATATGTCAAAACCTCTGTGGTGGTTTGAAAGAAAATGACTCCCAAAGGGAGTGGCACTTTGGAGGTGTGGCCTTGTTGGAGTGGGTATGGCCTTGTCGGAGGAAGTGTGTCTCTGTGGGGTGGGCTTTAAGGTTTCCTAGGCTCAGTATACTGCCCAGTGTGTCCAGGCTTCCGAGAAGTGTCTGTGATGCTTATTTCAGCATCTCTGTGAAGCTTGGATACTGAGATTGCAGCTGAAGCAGAGGAAACAATCCTCACGAGAAGGAAGAGAAAACAAATGGATGTGAAAAAAATCCTAAGCTGTGCTTACTGGTGCCCCTTTCCAATTAGTATTAAATTACAAATGCTACTATTCATTTTTATAATAATATTTAACAAATATTGATGATTTATTTAACAATAAATGCTTATTTAATTAAAGAATAAATCAATCACTCTCCATTCAATTAATAAATAATTTCTGTGGCAATAAATATTAATGAATGTAAAATTAATAATAAAGATAATTTATGGTTATTAAACTTGCTATTAAATTACAAATACTATTAAAACACAAAGGACCAGCTACTGCAGAGGTGAGCTATGAGATTATGTGAAACTCTAGTCTCTGCACACCTCTTTCCCAACACAAGGATTTTCCTACAAGCCTTCAGGTGCTATGCCTCCTAGAAGTTCCTCCTCACTTTTCAAGACCAGCCAAGGACTCTGTCCTCCTTGGGGGAAAGAGTCTCCTCTTTCCAGAAATATGTATTACTTCCAGGCCTGGCTGAGTTACCCAAGTGCCCGGGTTGGTTCTTTTGGAAGCTTGATCTTAGAGGCAACTGGGTCATGAGAAGTCTGCTGTTGGGAATCAATTGATGTCATCATTATTAACCATAACTCACCCACCCCCCTCCCCTAAAAAAAGGGAATGCCTAAAAAGGTTATTTTATTTTTCCATTTGGTGGCTTTTAGCCAAAGATGAAAACCAGGCTGGAGACCAACAGTAAGAGTTTATTTGGTGGCCAAATAATGAAGTAAGAGACATCTAGCTTGTAAATCAACTTCTCAGCCAATTAGAAGGGGGGAAGTCAGGCAAAGAGCAAAAGAGATGGGCTGGGAAGGATGGGCTAGAGAAAGGGGAGAATGTTCATACATTTCCTAGAATATTTATGAAATACCTGGAACTCAGGCAACACCTTGTTTTGCTCCTTTTACAGTTTGGTACTCTGTCACGGGCACTGGTAAGTATGCCCTTAGGATGAACATTGGATTGTAGTGAGGGTCTCTGATGTTTCTTTGGCAGCCATCTCAGGTCCAGTTGATTTTTGCTGGTCCATCTTCAAAGGAACCTTTGACCTGAGACATCTGTCTTCAGAAGTGGAGACTGTATTGGTGAGGTTGAAATCCAGCGGTCATGCAGGCAATGGCCTCATCACGAGAGTGAGTTTGCTATGCCGAGGAGTCTGGCCTTTTCCCGGGCTCTCTGCTCTGCACACTGGTGCTTTTGCTGTGTGATGACCTAGTTAAAGGCTCCTTTCCCAGGAGTGGCCCCTTCATCTTGGCTTTCCCAGCCTCCAGAGCCCTAGGCCACATCAGTTTCTGATCAGAAGTTAGCATCCCATGAGAGCAATAGACACTGACACTAGGACGGCCATACTTAACACATCATGTTGTAACGTGGCTGATGTAGCCTAGCTTCAGCCCATGCTGTCACAGAAGCCCTCTGGCAACTTCTGAATAATCTATGGTGGCTTAGGTCTCCTCAAAGCTGGGGTAAGACTTGTTTTTACACAACAATCCAGAATCTGAACTTAGCACCTTTTTCTTCTAAGAGGTCAGTGGAAGGGGAAGCATTCCTTTCATGTAGCAACAAGAGTAATAATAAATGAATATCTTACGTTCATTTTCATGGCACAAACATTATTACATTTTCCCCCACAGTTATACTTGGAGTCTGTTTCATTATT